ATAATTAATACAAACATATTTAATATGTCTCCAATTGTTAACACAAACTCATAAAAAATAAAAAAATAAAAATACCTGACATGCTAATTCTAATTTCATGAGGTACAACATTATGACAACCTGACTATAGTTATACAAAATGATGATGCTCTGTTTACTGTGACCCTTTGGTTTAATCATGCATTGCACTCTCCAATTACATCACCTGTTGCGCTTTCAACATCATTTTGCTCTCACCCTGAACCACTTTTAACAGAAAACTGACATTTGCAGGTGAGCAACGCCTCTCTGGGACTGTTTTGGTGATGCTCTTGTCACTTAGCCATCACATTGTATCCTGTGCCAAGCTAGTTCCTCTCCTAATACTATCCTGCTAATGCACATCAAGCTAAGATAAGATAAGAGAGCATCTATTTGTGCTATAATGGGAAACTCTAGTGTTGCAATGCAAAGTTCAGGAACAGCAGGAGAATAGAAATCAAATAATTCAACCATCAAAATAAATAAATATTAAAACAACTAGACTTAAAGCAAAGCTATTATGCAGAATTGACTTTTCAGAGCTTTTGCCCATGTTATAGTTATTTCCCCTCTTGAAGCTGTATTGGGAGTGATTCGTGCATGTTTGAGCGATCTTTAATCACTTATTTTCAAGACACCATATTGCTGATTAATCCACGTTTTCACCGCCACCGGCATACGCCCACTGCTCTGTACTTTCTTTGTTCTTCAATTTGATTTTCTTAATCGATGATATGCGTAGGATTTGGCAGTGTTGCGTAGTCATTTTGGCACAAATTAAAAAAAAAACAAAACTCCGCTATTCTCTAGTGTGATCTGCAGCTATCCAGGACGGGCTCACATCTACATCGCTCTTTTTCGTGATGCTGTTTATGGCATTATTGCAGGTTTCTAACAAGGAAGTCAGCAGGCTTTTTTCTTTTATTAAGTTGTTTTAGATGAATATTGAATATATGTTAAAATGTGCGAATTATAACATAATGATCCATGGGTATCATATATTATAATTATATAGCAGATACAAGCACAATAGGTCTTAAACATACTTTGAAAGTAGTTCAGATGCAAAAAAGACATAGAGATAATACAATATAACACTGTGCAATTACAAAAAAAAATATAAGGCTGTTATTTTCAATACATGGCCATGTGCTATGTTTATGCAGTACTGCGTATAGATAAAATAAATAGGAGTTACTGTAAAGTGACTTCACGCTTGTGCTACTTGCTGCTTGATGAGAGATACATTTGTAATAGTCTCTTATCTTTATTTCCTGTTTTATTTAAATAGGAAACACTTTATACCATTTTTGAGGCAGAGAAGATTTGGGCTCTATATGTGCACTCATTCCGAATGGGTGGACTTGGAAAATGCTACTGTTCACTGGCTGTTCCTCTTATAATCTTGCATATAAAGCCACAGTCAACAGATGGACCATCAGGACTCAACCGAGTGTTCAAATATAAACAATGAGATGAGAATTTTAACTGTGCGAAACAATAGCCACATATTTCTCTCTTACAGTGAGTGCATTCTGTATGTTGGTGGTGGGATGCAGCCATTTGGAACCAGTTTTAAGATTTATATAATCTGTTTAGATAATAAAGTGACATGTTCTTCATTTACTGCAGTGGTACAGAAGATAACCAAGCTCTAGTCTAGGCAAGATAATGTAATTTATGGCTCCTATTTTTCTGTTCTTTGTCTTTCAGGTTTTAATAAAGTGATTCTGAATGCCATGTTTTTCATCAGATGCCCTTCCTTACTTAACTCTTCATTAATCCAGGTTTGGAACCATCTAATCTCAGTAATGCAGACTAAATTCTGTGGTTTCATTATTATCATTCAGCCAATTAATCAAGCTCTAGTGATGTGGGTAGAGTAATGCAATTTATGTCTCTTAATTTTCTCTTCTATGTCTTTCAGATCTTAATAAAGTGACTCAGAATGCCATGTTTTTCACCAGATGCCCTACCCAACACAACTCTTCATTAATCCAGGACATCTAATCTCGGTAGTGTAAATTCAATTCTTGTTTCATTATTATCATTCAGCCAGTCGTCTTACAATTTAGGCCAATACTGTAGGGCTGCAACTATTGATCATTTTAGTGGTCAATGCAATTAACTGTTGAACTATGAATTAGTTGACTAGTCAAACGATTGTTTTTATTGTACTCTCAGCTTTTCATATACAATTTTAAAACCAAATAGAGGTTGAAATATAATAACCAAATGTTCCTACAGAATATTTATGAATAATGTATTACAGCCCTACAATATTATCAGTGTCCATTCTTTACATGTTTACCAGAGTATAAAATATTCACAGATACTAGATAGAAACTATATAGACATATAGATAGCTGCATAGATACATAGATAGATACATACTTTATTGATCCTGAAGGAAATTCATACAGGAGAAGCCTTCTTCACATGGTACCTGCAGGCATAGAGAACTGATGGCATGTGGTGATAAATTTGGAATATAATTTCCTGTAATAATTGCAAGAAAGGACAAAAGACAGAAACCCAGACTAATGTAAGCGTGCGTAATAAATGTGGTTTTGTCACAATAAAGCACTAGTGAAATTAGTCAAAGGCTATGCTTGTGTAGGCACAGCAATGCCTCTTCCCCATACTGATTACTGTCCATTATGTAGCTCTCAGTCTGCAGGACATGTAGATCCTTGTACACACTACAGGAGAAAATTAAATGCTATACTTGTGCCTGTTCACTTATGCGGTGTGAGCAGGAGAAATCTGCATTTTATTTCAATAAGGCTTGTTCTTGCTCAGCCACTGGGGTCACTTACAAGGGTCTGATTCAATTATTCTTCCTTTCACAACAGCAGGAAAACATTTTCATGGTGAATGGTTTGCCTAAATAGATTACCATCTCAAATAATTCAATTTCCGTTAATTTGATTGATTTCATACCAAGGGGAAAAGAAATCTTAATTTAAAGCCATTGCATTTCTAATCAAACATTAACTGAGAACGAAGGCTGGGTGAAAATCTTTTATTACCACTTTCCTCACTAATTTAAAAAGGAACCGCTGACGGCTGCCCTATTAAATGGCGGCAGTGGCATTCAGCTCGTGACTGGCTCATATGCACAGACTCCAAAATAAACTTTTGTTTGCAAGTCACCGCTGTTTAACTGCCACAAAAGCCACTCTGCATAGTCAGGCCCTGGGAGAGAATGTATGGCCAACCATTACCACAGAGGATCCAAATGAGGCAGCTCCGTCATCTGATCCATTCACATCCATTATTCATCCAGCTCGCGAGACCTGGGACGCTTCTTACAGAGGACCCAGGAACCCCATCTATTCTCGTGAGCAAAGGAAATGCCACGCAATAGTGGAGGAGTGACTCACCGCCACAGCAAAAGACTGAGTGCACAAGCAACCACTGATGCTTATACAACAACCCCAGTTCTGAGAAGTCGGAACATAAATGCAAATATCTGCAAAGATCCGCTCTTATGAATATATGAGGATGAGACGGAGCAACAAAAAAAAAAAATTCAAAATAGAATAATTGTGTATCATTATGTATTCAATAGTTATACTCCATGTGGTAATATTATTAACTTCAAAATGTCCTCATTTTTTATGATATCAGATATACATTAAATATGTATTTATTAAAATTATCATTTGAAAATTTTAATTCATAATCTATCTCAATGTGATTTGCAAGCTACTGGATTTGTATTTTATTTACTTTGTAGACAGTGTTTCAGCTTCTTTGAAATGGGGCTGTGAAAGCAGTGGAACAGAAAATTTGAACCATTATCTGCTGAAATTATGGGAGAAAAAAAAGTTATTAAGAATATTTGGCACCCTGATGACCATCGACGGCGAGCTGTCGGAAAGGAAAGCAGCAGGACTGGCCGGTGAGGAGCAAACACCTTGTGGAGACACATGAGTGGCAGGCAGAACTGGCGAGCTGCCACAGATAATAACATCTGAAATAAATGTGATGTGTGCAATTCAATCTGTAGTGATGGGGACGGCTGCAGCATTAGAGTGCACTTCTAAATGCTATCTACTCATCCATGGAATGAGGACTGACATGCAGTCTCACAGAAGAGATTGTGCAATTAGCAGCCTTTGTGCCATTTTGACACAAGCAGGGAGAGAAATGAGAATCAACTTTGTCATGCCTGCTTCCCCGGCGCTCTGTGATTCCCAAAAGATACTCTAAATATTCCTGCTGTAGAGGGGAGGTGAAGGAAAGTGCATTGTTATTTCACACCTGGTTATGGACTATTACAAACGTATCCACAGGAACCCACTCTAACATCATCCACAACAATGCAATCTAATGTGCAATACTGTTAAGAGATACAAGGGGGCGCTCTTTGAGTAAACATCACTCGAATTATTGGTGAGCTGCATATCCCGTTAAAACTTCCACAAATGTCATGCTTTTCTTTTGTCTATCTGGACTAGGCCTATCTGTTATGTGACATTTTAATCTCATAGTGTAAAATAGATGGTCTATAAGCTATATTTTGTTCTTGTAGACCAGTGCACTTATAACGTCTTATTTCTGCTCCTCCCTCACCCCACATTAACCAGCAGACTATAACCGTAAAGGAAAATGACTATAATATCCCTATAAAGTGTCTGTGGTCCTCAGTGGTGGCTTTATGGTTACCTCAATGCACTACGGCGTTTTATACTTCCCCTGCTGTCTGCAGTTATCCCCGTAATGGGAGATTGGTTCCCTTTACTTATCGGTTGCGAACACACTTTTGACATTTTAAAATACTCCTACGGTCTATTGCAGTAATGTTGCAGTTTAATTTCATAGACCTGTGTGTGTCATTGCAACATAATGCAGCCCAATATGATAGTAGGCTCCCTGCTCGAGCCCTCCCTCCGCCTCTCATGTGTCTACATTTTCATCCCATGGCCGTCTCTAGGTGATTTAGCGCCGCCAGTCTCAAGCAGGTGTCCAACATGGCGATCACGGGGAGCGGATCTCTCGCCTTTTCTCTGTCCATTTTCGTCATTTCAGCGGCGTTTCTTCCCAAAGGTAAGTTTTTTCGTCTTTTATGTCGTGTAGAATTACGACGATCCACCGCAAAAGCCAGGAGAGTGTCGGGGAAGAAGTTGTGTTGCGCACCAGCTTGCCTTTCAAATCTCAGCATCACTTTTTGCTCTGCTTTCCCGGAGGCTGTCGGACCAGTTAACGCTGTTGTCGAATGTCTTGTGTGGCTTGTACGGGACTGCTCTAAAAGTGTGGCAAGTGAAGCAAAGTACTGTTGGCTGCATTCACGCAAAATGGTCGTATCCTACAGACCTTGATCAAGTTGTACGCGGAGTAAATAGACACAGCGTCAATGTTAACTATAGATTTAAATGCTTTCTACATCAGTTACGTTCTTAACTCAGTACAATGCGCATGTACCGGTGCACTTCAGGTGCGCTTTGGAAGAAAACACGCATTGCAGTTCTCGTCTCACATGGAGTGCTTCGGCCGCACAACTGCAGCTTGAGGTGCCAGTGCCAGGCTCCGCAGTCTCCACTCTCCGCCTGTCACTGCGCGTGTACATGGAAATGCTCCGTGTTGGTCTCAGCCTCACCATCTGCATCGTATTGTCTCCAGGACCAGTGCAGTCCCCGTCCGAGCGTTTTCCCCCGATTCTACCGTGGTTGCATCAGTGTTGCATGCGTCAGTCAAGGCGTGCGCTCATGTGTGTTTCCCGCTGAATATCGTAGAGGCTGACAATATGTAGCGCACGTAAAGCGGTTAAAATGTCAGCTCAGACTCCCTGTAATATCTCCCAGTGACGGAAAAGGCGTGTTGTATTGTCAATCAAGGCCCTGTGTAAATGGCAAGCAACAGTTGCATCCCAGCTTCCCACTTTACCCACTTGAAAGTGTTTTGATATCTGCTCTCTGCACTGGTACCATCTCATATCAACAGGTATTTCCACTCTCCCTGCCGGCTCTCTGTAGGTGCTGCTGTTAAAAATGTGTGTTGCATTAAATCATTATATTTAGTGAGTTGATTTGTTTTTTTGTTTTTTTACAGCTCATTGCTTCCTACCCCTTAATTTCATATTTGTTGAATCATTATGGTGTGTGCTGAATAGTTGAATGACATTTACAGCATTGTTTAGCGACTTCTTGTCACATTAATTTAATTAACCTCTCAGTCAAATAAAATAATGCCTGGTGAATGCAGACCAACCCCCTCCGCTATAGCGCTCTCCTGTACTAGAAAAGCATGGCAGTCAGCTCTACACTGAAGTAAAATCCCTTCTATCTGACCCCATGTTCTACATTGGTCTGACTGTCTGTGTGCCAGCAGCCTGGAGCTACAAACACACAGGCTCTCACTGTAGTGGAGTGCTGACAGTCTTCATCTTGACACCATCCAGCATTTTCCTTTGTTAATAATCCAAATGTGTGGATTTAAACTTAGCATGGAGCCAAGGAACAATCCACTACTGTATCTAAACAGTAGATGCAATAGGCATTCATTTACTGAATGGGGGGTAATTATAAAAGAACATGCTATTGCAAAAGGTTATGTGTGAGCAAAGGATACCATCAGCACCATCATTTCCAAATCATTTCATAACATGAAATTAAACATGAAATATATTGTGGGAAAAAAAAAAAACAACAAAAAACAGCCAGTTCATTAGAAACATTACTTTTGTTATTGCACAAATGCACAGTAGTATTTGAAAACATAGATTTACTCATTTTGCGTAATAATCATCATCATCATTTGTAAAAAAAAAAAAAAAAAAAAAAAAAAAAAATTGAGGTGCGTGTCTCATATCATAACATATGGTCTTATCTCGGGAAAGGTTGCATAATCCCAAGACGTTTTGCCAGTTTGAAATCGTTCATCATGACTGAGTGATGGTGAAGTGGATCAATACGGGCTGTCGTGAAGCCTCAAGGCGCCGCTGAAGGACGCCATCGCAGAGAAACAAAAGGAAACATACAGTTGTTACGCTACTCTTGGCTGCCAGTTGGCATGTGACACACTTAGTGATTGAACGTGTCCATCTTTAGCTCAAGTGTTGGCTGTGAAACAAAAGCAGGAGAGATTTGCGTATACTCAGCTCTATATCCTCAGTCTGTCTATTTGTCTGCTATGGTGATGATGGTGTCTCATGGAAGGAAACATCTTTACAGATCAAACTTATGACCACTGATAGAACATACTATCTCTCTTTTTCATGACACCTGTGAGAGCACTGGATATATATATATATATATATATATATATATATATATATATATATATATATATATATATATATACAGCATTATAATAGAGAAATAGATGGGGTAAACAAAGTTAACAAAGCTAAGTTGTTGGTGTGTTGTGTTATGTGGAAGTATACAAATAGTTTTTCCACAGAAACAGAAATTGTGTTTGCTAAAACGTCTTTTTATTTTTTGCTAAATGTGCGATTGTAAGTCTGAATATACCACGTTATTGTCCAGTACACAGTTTTTGTAATATTTGTGGATTTTATAGTCTCCATGGAAATATCCTCTGCATTTGACCCATTCATCAAACAGTGGCTCTGGGCAAACTGCCTGGAGCAGTGGGTGACCTCACTATCTCCAGATCTTCAGATAGGATTTTGGTCAGGATTACCTTGTTGGAGGCTTAGCCAACTGTGCTTGTTTTGGCATTAATGGGGAAAACCAGAGTATTCAGAGTACTATGGGGAGGACACTTGACTATTATGTTGAATAGCCCCACCCAGCCCAGGATTCAGACCACAGACCCTCTTGTTGTAGGGCGAGTTGAGCCACTCAGTTTGATTTGTGTTCACTGTTTGCAGAAACGAGATGCCTTCAAACAGTGATGAATCCCATTTTGGTGCACCTCCCTGTTGATGTTACTGTCATTTTGGTTTCCAGTATGGGCTTCACTGGCAGTACATTATCATTATTAGTTGTGTGGAGTGCTGGGGAAGAGGTCATTATACCAGGCACATGCAGTACATTTCAAATCGGTTTGGAGCCAACTGGAGTGCACCCCTCCTTTTATCTCGCGTGTCGAACAGCACAGCGTTCCTGTATAAATTTAATACCACACTTAATGGCCCGTTGATATGTGCCCGCTTACAGTGTTTCATGGCCTGTATGTTAAGATCACCACAGTATATCATTTGTAACAATAATATAGTCTTCTATTTAAAGAAATTGAATTTATTGCTCATTAAATTTACATTATACTGTGCTTAATAAGCCACACTCTAATTGCTAGATAATGCATGGCACTACTTTATGTGGTGGCAGCTAATTTCACTGTTAAAGGGAGGGGGCAGTAAAGCAGTTGGCAACTGATGCATAGTGAGACAGACAGTATAGTAGCAAACTAAGTAATATAGGTTTAAAGGCAATGTGTTTTTTTTTTCTTTTTTAATCTGGTCTTATTATTTATTTTAGAAGGAATAGTAAACTCCCTTGATCAAATTTGTCAATGTATTAAATCAAACTTAATGCTCACTGAATTTATTTTTAGCTTAGGTGTCCATAGTGGTAACACTATATTATTATTATATTATTATTACATTTTGATAAAATCTCTTGGTGCTGATCTATTTACATCTTTCCTCCTTCATTTCATTCTATAAAGTACTTTAATAATAATGAGGTAAGGGTACAAAAAAAAAACATTTTCTGGAAAAAGAACTGAGGACCATTTGACATAACGTAAATAGTGTCTAAGTAAAATTTCTATTGTCTGCATAACTCAGTACAATTTCTACTCACTACTCTATTACAATTAATTTGTACAGTTGAGTCATTCCTCCCCATCTCTGGTGAATAGGCCTGTAGCGCAGTGTCAAAACTGAATGACAAACTAGGCATGATCAAAAATGTGTCTGTCCGTCTGTTGAAATGTAGTAAACAGTCAATTAGCAGAAGTAGACAGATGACAGGGGCCTTCGTGATTACCAGGACAGAAGCTCCCATTCATAACTGCTTTGGTAATGAGGAGGGGAGCGTATGAATATGACATTGTTCTTTCTGTTCCCCGGATCGGAGAGACCTCTCTGCATTGGCTGTGCTGCTCTAAACTCTGACAATCAGGTTCACAATGCTGGTGGAAAAAAAAAGGGAAAAAAAAAAAAATAGAAAATGCAATGTTTTTGTTTTGAAAGGGCCATAGAGTGCACATTAGTATGGGTGATGGAGCAATTACAAGCTGCCATTAAGGCTGTGGAGCAGTCATTTCACAGCGATTCCTAAATGAACAAGTCCATAGGGCAGATTTCCTCACAAACCTCGAATTGTGCCGTTTTTCTACCAGTGGTTTTGACGAATGCCAGAGAAGTATTTATTCAAAGACAGTAAAAGAATACGGCTTTTTACTGCGACGTTCCCCCCGCTGTGACAACGCTTTCAGTGGCCATCACACATAATGTTACAAATATTCAGCTTTTTACACAAGTGCGAATATGCCATCTTCATATCTGCAGATGTCATTTCTGTTCAGAGGGGGGTTACTGCTTTTGTTAGCGTGTCATTATGATTTCACAGAGCATTACTTTTAATATTTAATCATACTTATTAGAATTTACACTTCTTGTACAATCAATTATTCATTGCTTGTACATTTAGAGTTTGATATAGGAATATACAAGGGTAATAACATTGACAAAACGTGCAACTTTGCTTTTCATTTTAATGAAGGCTTTGTGGTTATAGACTTTAGAAAATGTATAAGTTATTGTTACTATACCATGGGCTAAGCCTGAATTGAATGGCAGTATCCATTGCACAAGGGTGAATGGTAAAAGTGAATACAAAATAAGTATAAGAATATATTTAAAGATGCAAAGCCCGGAAAGTCCAGAGTTGAGTGGCAGTTCTCAGGCTGAAAGAAAATTTCCTGAGGCCAGAGTCCATCTGTTAACATATAATTATGAGTTTGGGTTTTCTCCTTTGTTTGTTGGCCACTAGTTGGCAGGTGTCACTGTCTGTTTCCATGGGAACCAAGTAGTAAATTACACACAGCGATTAGTTTAGTCTGTAAATAAGTGATAA